ATTATTATTATCATTATTATTATTTATTATTATTATTATTATCACTATTAGTATTAATATTATCATTAATATTACTGTTATTGTTATTATTATTATTATTATTACTATTATTATTATTATTATTATTATTATTATTATTATTATTATTATTATTATTAACAATCCTTTTTTTGTTATTATCATTATTATTATCAATAGTATTATTACTATTATTATTATTATTATCATTATTATTATCATCATTATTATCATTATTATCATTATTATTATCTATATCTTTATAGTCGCTATTATGTATTATCCTTATCATTATTACTATTACCATCATCATTATTAATGTAATTTTCATCATTATTATTGTTATCATTATTGTTGTTATTTTTTATCTATTTCTATCATTATTGTCATTATTATCATTATTATTGTTATTCTTATTATTATCATTATCATCACTATTGCTATTATATTGTCAATACTATAATCCTTGTATCATGAATTATAATCGTTATCATTATTATTATTATTACTATAATCATTATTATTTTCTTTACTTTCATTTTATTATACCATTATTATTATTATCATTATTATTATAATTATTATTATTATTATCATTAATATTATTATCATTATTATTATTATTATTATCATTATTATTATTATTATTATTATTGTAATTGTAATTATTATCATTATTATTATTATCATTATTATTATTATCATTATTATTATTATTATTATTATCATTACTATTATTATCATTATCATTATTATGGTACTTGTCATTGGTACTATTATCATTACTATTATTATTATTATTATTATTACCTTTATTATTATTATTATTATCATCATTATTGGTTAACATTATTATTATCATCATTATCATTATCATTATCATTATTATTATTATCATCATTATTGGTTATTATTATTATCTTTATTATTATTATTATTATCATTATTATTATCACTATCATTATCATTGTTATTATTATCATTACCATTTTTTATTATTATTACTATTATAATTGTTATTATTATTGTTACTATTATCATCATTACGATACTCATTATATGCATTTTCATTACTATTTGGTACTATTTGGTGTTCATTATCATTATTATCGTCATCATTACTATTATAACTTTATTATTCTATTTTTTATTATCATTATTATCATTATCATTATTATTATTGTTGTTGTTATTATTATTATTATTATCATTATTATCATTATTATTATCATCATCATTATTATTATCATCTTCATTATCATTATTATTATTACTATTATTATTACTATTATCATCCTCATTATCAGTATATCATTATTATTGTTATTATTATGATCATCCGTATTGTTATTCTTATCATTTTTGTTATTATCATTATTATCGTCGTTATAATTTTCATTATCACCACTATTATTATCATTATTATTATTATTGTTGTTTTGTTTTTGTTATTATTATTATTATTATTATTATTATTATTATTATCATTATCATTATTATTGATATTATTATTGTTATTATAATCATTAATTATTATCATTATTATTATCATTATTATTATTATTATCATTATTATTATCATTATTATTATTATTATCATTATTATCAAATTATTATTATTATCGATTATTACTATCAACATTTTTTATTATCAATTATTATCATCATTATAATAATCATCATTATGATAATATTATCTCTGGAAAGAGAGAGAGAGAGCGAAAGAGAGAGAGAGAGAGAGAGAGAGAGAGAGAGAGAGAGAGAGAGAGAGAGAGAGAGAGAGAGAGAGAGAGAGAGAGAGAGAGAGAGAGAGAGAGAGAGATTTGATTTGATAACATTTATTTACAGAACAGTATACATGCCCTGCAAAAAGCCAAGGAAAGATACCAAAGAATCTATCCAAACTGGCTGTGCTTCTATTTGTAAAGAGGGCTATCAATCAAACATTAGAGTTATATACAAGCCTGAAGAGCTATCCTATCATCAGTGTATTAAAATGTCATCTGGCTGATAAAAACCTTTTATATCACTAATCATGTCAAAGACAAGACGAGTGTCTCTAGTAAAGTTAATATAATCAACAAGTGCTAATCTGTGGACAGTACTATTTGATGGATAGGATGAAGTTTTTATGCAACAGAGTAAGTAATGGATAAGATAAATGCGGCTTGGGCGTCTTGCATAGTTTGCAGTGATGATATGAAACTGATTTTTGCCTCCAAAATTGCATCCTGTACATATTGTATAGTGTACTGTTATCCTATGCGTAGCCTAGTTAATGTAACCTGGAGTCTGAGGCCAAGTATGGTATTAACTTGGGCGACACGACTGTGAATAGAGGAGAGGTCTAGCTCTTTCCTCATGACGAGAACTTTAGCAGTCATTGGGTATCCAAGTATAATTCTCATGGTCTTGCTCTGAAAAACTTCAAGGAGTCTGAGGGCACTCGGTGGCAACATACTAAGAATTGGGCTTGCATAGGGAGATATACATCAACCTTAGGACTCTCAGAGAGGTACCTACATACCTGTTACTTATGGAGTTCTTGCAGTCCACCTAACCTTGGGATATAAGATAGTTACGAGATCTGGAAGCACACTATTTTGCTAAACCTCTATAGAACATAATCCCCCTATTAAAATACCTGAATAAGAATGTCATCAGCATGGGATGTGATGGTTTCCTAACTCAGTGTTGAGCTTGTAAAGAGAGTGCATAAGTATATTAAGCAGTGTAGGGGGCAATACTCCTCTTTGTGGAGTGCCTAATTCTAATTCGCCCTTAGCTTCTAAAAGTGTTAGTTCATGGAAGATTGCAGTAGGGGAGGCTCTGTCGAATACTCCCTTAAAATCTATGAAGTAAGAAGTCTGTGCATTACTTCCATTTAGATACTGTGCGTGACAAACTTGTGTTCCTCTCCCTTTTTGAAAGCCAAAGACTGATAGATGGATCAGGTCTTTGACCTGGTGGAGTAAACGAGTAAGGAGGATTCTCTCACAGGTTTTAAACAGGAAGGACGTCAGAGAAATTGGTCTATATTCATCGGGCCATCCTGGTTTTGGGATGAGAATGATGGTTGTTTGTTTCCAAGGGGTAGGCAAGATGCCTGCCGTGTAGGTGAAGTTGAAGAGATCAAGAAGAGGATTTCAATTTCGTTTTTATGGCTTAATCTATCGGAGCACCTGCGTATGGATAATGGGAGATTACCAAGCGAAGAATCTTCACACCACTTGTTGAGGAGAGATGAGTCTATTCTTTCTGGATGTGGATGGTGTGTTGCAAATGTATTGCCTTTAATCTTGCTGACTTCCTGCCATGCATTACTCCTGGGTGTCATGGAGTTAATTGATTCTGCCCAGGCATAAAATCTTTCCACCCGTTTATCTTATTGATTTTTTTTACTAAAAAAAGAAAAAAACAAACAAACAGAAAAAAACAGAGAGAGTGAGAGAGAATAATAATTCATTATAGATATATGATCGTTGTGTTTCAAATATTTTTTTTTATCATAAACCGTGTATTATCTATCGGTTATTGTGGTAAGAATACCGATATATTTACTGGGATTTAGAAGACACAATTAACAAAACTTAAAATTTTCTTACACCCAGGAAAAAAAAAACACGTAAAAATAAAAGTTTCATTGACTAAAGATAAACTAATAAATAATAAAATAATAATAACTAATAATAATAATAATAATAATAATAATAATAATAATAATAATAATAATAATAATAATAATAATAATAATAATAATAATAATAATAACAATAATAATAAAAAAAACACGTAAAAATAAAACTTTCATTGACTACAGATAAACTAATAATTAAGGACTGAAAGAGAAAATAGATAAAACCGGATAAAGAAGAATAGAAAAAGATAATACTTCAAGATATTCAACATATCGTCACTGAAAAATTATTACATATACGAAGGAAAAATAAATGTTGGAACTTTTCCTGATTCATGAAAAACTACAGAGATAATAAGATAAGATAAAAGATAAAAAAGATATAAAAGATAAATAAGCATAAAAGATAAAAAAAAATATAAAAGATAAATAAGCATAAAAGATAAAAAAGATAAATAAGCATAAAAGATAAAAAAAGATATATAAAGATAAAAATAGAGATAAAAAAGCAGTAGAAAAGATAAAAAAGATAGAAGATAAATAAAAAAGAGATAAAAAGAGATAAAAAAAGCAGTAGAAAAGCACACGTAGGGGATACCTCATAATATTCAACTAGAACTACAATATTAAAATATATATATATATCTAAAAGCGAAAGTAAAGAAGAAGAAAAAAAAAAGAATGTTGGAACTTAATACTAAACATCCCATCCTGACACATATCTCACAAAAGATAAGCACAGATATTAAATAATTGCGACACAAATAATATTTTTTTCCCCAACCTAGTTTATACAAGAAAACAAAGAAAATAATCCTCCAAAACAGTAAAATGCACAAGATATTATTTTCAACGCACCTCGAACGCACACCTCCCACATCAAACACAGACACCAAATAGCCACAACACAAGCAATAAATTTTCCCCCACCCTGATTTACACAAGAAAAAAAAAGCCCAAAGAAGTAAAATAAGCAGTAAAATACCCAAGATATTATTTTCAACGCACCTCGAACGCACACGTCCCACATCAAACACAGACACCAAATAGCCACAACACAAGCAATAAATTTTCCCCTAACCTAATTTACATAAGAAAAAAAAACCCAAAGCAGTAAAATACCCAAAAGCAAACCCCAAAGCAGTAAAATACCCAAGATATTATTTTCGCCGCCACTCGAACGCACACCTCCTACACCAAACACAGACACCAAATAGCCACAACACAAGCAATAAATTTCCCCCCACCCTAATTTACACAAGGAAATAAAACAAGTGAAACCCCAAAGCAGTAAAATACCCAAAAGCAAACCCCAGAGCAATAAAATACCCAAAATACTATTTTCGCCGCCACTCGAACGCACACCTCCCCCGGCCATATTGATCCCGTGGAGGACGAGCGACGCAGAACCAGAAAGATTTTTTCACGAATTTCTGCCAATTTTCGGGAAATGAATTGGGGAAAATGAGCGATGAAGAGAGGGATATCGACATTGAGAGTGATGTGAGTGAGGGGAACGGTTTTTCTTTAAGTATAATTTTAAAAGAAGGGGACCTGTTCTGATAAAAAAAAAAAAAAATAATGGGTTACTTTGGCTGGGTTTCCTGTAGTATTTTTTTTTTCCTTTTTTTTTTTTCTTTAGGTAATTAGTTTGGTGTGTGGGCGTGTACAAGGAAAAAAGGGTTTATTTAAGTGGGCTATGGGTGTTAAAAGATTGAAATTAGGATTAGAATCATTAGATATAAAGAAATAGTGAAAGCTCGTAAAGTTTTTATTGAAGTTTTCAGTGACGTCAACTATAAATAAACCCTTATTTTCTGTTTTTATTTGTTTTAATTGTAAGAAAACTCTATCTTTAGTGTATATTGAACCATATTTGAACTATTCTCTCCACACCTGCCATTTTAGGCAAAATATGATAAGTTATAGTTAATGTAAGTAAATGTAAGGCTGGAAATAATATATGTTATATGTATCTATTTTGCAATAATTGTATGTAAGTAGTTATTTTCTCCATTTTGAATTCTAGTGCACTTAACTTCATGGTTAATCTGTATGGTATGGATACTAAGCTAGGGCAAGTTGATGATGATTCTCTGGTAAAGGACAAAATGATGAAGTTGTCGGCACAAGAAGTAATCTTCAGACACGAAAGGTAGCACCAGAAATAAAGAAGGTCACGGAAAGCACTGCTCATGGCCTGAGTGCTCCAGAGACTTGGCTGTACCTTGCCGTGCATACCGAGGTGTAGGCAATATTTGTTTGGGGATGTTAGGGCTGGAGCCATGCATCGAACCCCCCCTCGGGCAGTACTCAAAGACTACTTAGATCATTAACCCTTAGATGACACTATTAGAAATCTCTCAGCGTCATAGACTCTGGGAATATCTGGCAACCCGCGTCCTGCTGTTTGGAACGGGAGTCTGTTACATGTAGTGGAACTTCCCGCTCGACACACTCTTGCACATCAACATGCGTATAGCTGTACCTGGTACTGTTTGTTATGATAGCTATACAGGTGGCCTGGTAGTAATGGGTTAACTAAATTCTGTGATATGGAGTTGGGGGACTTAGTCTTTGATGAGTGCATTTGTTCTGTAAAGAATTACCAGCTTCACAGTTTGCAGTTTAAGAAGGAACAGATTCCCATAACTCTTTTTCTAATTTACATACAGAAAAAATGAAAAGTCAAGTGAAGAAGAAACCTCAGGATTTAACTAGAATATTTGTAGACAAGGTTTTTTTTCATGTACGACTAATTGTATGGAACAGGAAAATATGATGAGAGGCCTTGGTTGCCATACTTTATGCTAAGGAAAAGGCAACAAACCTCTCCCTCATACATTTGGCAAGATAGAGTTTGGTCTGGCTATTTCTTAGATGATAGTCTATAATGGTCTCCAAACTCTTTATTCCCAGAATGTACTTGGTGGAGGTATGTCTGTCTGTATCAGTTATGGCCTTATATTTATTTTCTGGAGATTTCTCTGATATCTAATAGTCTTATTTTGGCTGTTATTTATGGCCAAACTTCCTTTTTTTGCTAGCTTTTTGCTATCTTATTCTAAACCAATCTTAGTTAATAAGTTTCACTTTGAGGCTTTCCAACTGATGATAGCATTTATTATGTAAATTTAGCTTGAATACAAGATATGTGATTGCATGTAAATGACTGTGAAAGATACTGTGGGTGTCTAGAAACATTTATTGTAAAGAATTAATGTTATCTTGAAAATCTTCATAGATTTTGATTCAAATTGGTGGTCTTACATATGTTTCCTGTTTATCACAATCTGTATAAGGATAGAACATATTTCTATGTATCTAGAATAAGTTCTAAGTTTTCAGGGTTTTTCCCAGTATTCTTGTACAAAAGGAAAACTAAGCAAGTCATCTTATTCAGTCATCACATGATAGTTTGTTGTTTTTTTCCTCTAATATTCTTTAAGAAAAAAAATTAATCTTACAATGTATGCTCTCCAGTATGAAGTAGTTCCTGTTTGAACGAATGGAAGGGGACAGAAAAAAAATAATCAATTGTCTTTCATGCAGGATGATGAGTCACTGCAGGGGGGCACGCGCGGGGAGTTCCAGTTTGCATCGCAGGCGGAGAAGAGGGCGCACCACAATGCCCTCGAGCGGAAACGCCGAGATCACATCAAGGATTCCTTTTGTTCCTTGAGAGATTCTGTGCCTTCTCTGCATGGAGAGAAGGTGGGCAAGACAATTATAGGTGGAATGAGAATGGAAGGAATGAATACATGTGATGTAGTGCATGCCATGTCTTTGTTTTAGCCTTAGTTGATGTCAGCATTTGGTATTAGTGTGGGAAGCATGCTAAGTTGGATATAGAAAAGCATAGAGGAGTTTTTAGTGGTGAAGTAGTGTGAAGTATTAGGAATACTTAACTTTCATGGGTCAGTACTGTGATTAAGAATTTATTTTAGTCTTTTCTAATGTCCAGTTTAACTAACTATTACTGATTGTTATCTAGATACTTACTACAGGGTATTGAATCAGCCCTAGTATTTTATATTTAATTATAAAAAAAATAAGTTCATGCCTTACAAAGAAAATATGTTTTCTAACAACACTGCATTAGATATGTGATCTCCAGTCTGTGGTTGAAGTTTTGTTCATTAACATGTCTTCACCTAGATTGAGTGACAAATTGCAAACATCTTGCAACATCCTAGGTCTCTTAAAGAAAGTGAATGTTTGAGTGATTGTGTGTGTTATTATTTGACTGGAGTAGACTTTGGTCAGAAGAATGGTTGGTTTTCACTAATGAAAGTAGTCTTCGCAGGCCAGCCGTGCACAAATATTGAAGAAAGCTGCCGATTACATTGAGTTTATGAGGCAGAAGAACTCTGCTCACCAGCAGGACATTGACGATCTGAAGAAGCAGAACACTCTTCTTGAAAACCAGAGTAAGATAGCCGTTTGTTTGATATATAAGAGAACTTTGCTTTGCATTATTGCTTCTTAAAATTTAGAGGTAGTGCTAATTGGATGTGAAAATTGTAGAATAAATTGTAGTTATATTTTTGATAATTAAGATTTGCAGATATCTTGTCACTGATTTTGTCTTAAAAGTTAAGGCTGTGAAATTCTAGGCCATAACAAATGATATTAACATATAAATCATATCACATAAAATATAACTGACCCAAGCTTCAAGTCAGCTGTACTCTTTAGTAAACATGAGAACTGTTCAGTATTAGTTCAATATTAGTACCTACTACTAGAAACAAGTACTAGAAAATGGGCAATCAATTGATGTTAGGTAGGAATTGATTAATGACTCTTTTGTGACTAAATGCTTGCAGAGCTATCTCTGCAAAGATAATTCACAAGGTAAAGATAAGATGAACAGTGCATGCAGCTGGCACTACTGTATTAAAATTGTACATATTGAGTATTTAACCCATTGCCAACAGGCATGATGTGTATGTGTATGCCATGCCCACTGTGAGTTTACTTGTTTAATTGTTTTTCACATAGATGGTTGCACTTGTACTAAGTCACCACTGAGCCAATTACGAGTACTGCCTGTCTCGCCCATTTACCCTTTTCTTTGTTTTACGAAAATATTTTACATTATCTTATTTTGCTGTTACCAATGTTTATAACATTATAGTAATTATAATGTTTATATTAATAATAACACTCGATATTCATAGCACTAGTAAAAAAATACATTTTTCCTGCTAATTCAAGGAAAGGTGAAATCAGGTAAGGTCACAAGGTCTACTAATTGACTCCTTTGTGGCTAAGCACTAGTAGAGCCATCTATGTGCAGAAACATTTCACAAAAAAATATAAAAAATGAGCACAGAATTTTCCCCATTTTTTATTCATTTCCCCTGATGGCATTGTGTTACAGGTAATGGGCAATGACAAATAACAGTAGATGATATCCATCCAAGATGTGTTGCTACCATGTAACAAATTCAAATTTCAGGAAAAGTGCAAAAAGCCTTGGTGATTTCAGAGGTACTCCATTTCCCTATCCTGGTCTGTAGCTTCTGTCCATAGAAACCTTTGATATCATTATATTTCTCTCCCTTTCTAAATTTTGTGGTTCTTACCAGATAGGTATGCATTCTGAACTTGCTCGGCTACTTAGCATCCTGTTTACTAGAGCTCAAATTTTCTTAACAATTTTGTCCTAATAACAAAGCATTTTAATAAGATTCATTATCACATGTAACTGCAGCATTGGCAAGTTACCTCCTATAACATTGCCAAGGCCTTTCATGCTTATTTGGAATGCAAATATGTTTCAGTAGCTGAATGCACATCAGACATGAATTTCTGTCAATACTACTCAGCTTACTAAATTGACATGTAAATGAGGTTTATTATGTAATGTCAAAAGATAAATTTGGAGAAGTGGCCATCAACACTACTCTTATTTAACCCCTCAGTGACGGGTATTAGAAATCTCTCAGTGTCATAGACTCTGGTGATTTTTGCCAATGTCCAGCTCCTGGGCGTGGGAGTCCACTCCATGTAGCAGACCTTCCCGCTTGTTGCTACACGTATGGTTGTACCTTGAAGATCACGCGGTTTGTTATGATGGCTATATATGTGACCTGGCAGTAACGGGTTAAGTAAATTTAAAAGCTACAGGCAGAGAACATCAAATCAACTCATAGCTGTTATTTATCACATTTCATATTCCTGAGCCTTATTGTTCTCACTTTTTTCATAAGCAGTATTACTTAACTGTTCATGCCATATCTTGGTTATCTGCCTGTGCATAGAATTCACATTTATGTTTATAATTGATAATCTGAAAACACTATCTCTGGCAATCATTTTATCTCTCTCCCCCCACTTTTTTTCCAGTAGCAGCAGTCCCTGACCTTAAAAATATTCCCATTTGTAACAAAGAACAATTGATTTGCTGCCAAAAATATCAGCAGTTCTCATGGCCCTAAAAGAAACCCATTTGGTCATATGATATTTTAAATTATGCAGATGAAAGCTTCTCCAATAGGGAAGTTAGTTGGAGCTCATATACCAACAAATACATTGAACACAAAAGAAAAACAAAAACTGGCAAATCCCCATTGTGTTTTTCAAAGTGTGGATAAGGTTAATGACCAAGTTAAACAGAGTGGAAGTTATACAAGTCAGTCTAGAAGATACTAGAGACCAAGGGATGGTCTCATCCAAAGAAGATGGCAGAGTTGGTTGTTAACCACATGCTACCGGGGAAAATGCTGTGCTCATTATTTTGTGAAATACCTCTGCACATTGATGGCTCTGCTAGTGATTAGCCACAAAGGAGTCAATTAGTAATTAATAATTTCACTTTTACTTGATGCTATGAATATCAGTGGTGTTATTTTAGTATACACTACTGTTATAAATATTAGAAACAGAAAAATAAGATAATGAAAAATATTTTCATAAATCAAG